CAAATAATGTTTACTTTTTCAACTATCATTCTTGTGGTTAACCACCTATCGCTTTCTGCAAGATCACGTGCACAAGCAGTGTTCTCGTCCCTGTCATGTCGAAAAAGGACACTCTGACGGATTCACATCGCGTTCTTTCGACGTAGTATCATTTCCATCAATTCTGGTCAACTTTTCTCTTTGCGGTCCTACATCGAGCTGGCCTCAGACATCGTACAATGATAAATTATGAATCATAATCGATAGTAAATAATTCTTTTTACATTAATAATAGACGCTGAAACATGAAAATAAAGGCAGATTACACGATACCGTCTAAAAGTAGCCAAATGCCCAGCTGGAACGAAACAACGAAAGTAATGAAAAGCTGAATAAAAGCTGAAACGCAAAGGGTTAAGTCTTCTTTGATGATTCGCCACTTTTTACCAAACATTTTATCACAACTGTTTGCTCCAAATTGCATTCCATTTTTTCATGCAACATGGAACTCGAACACGTCTTTACACGAGCCAACTTGCACTGTGATTGAAGCCATTGACAATGTTTACCTTTCGCATGTTGTTGGGGAGGGCTAACATAGTGAGGAGATGTTTACATTGTTGTTACTTTGATCGAAACGAAATTATTCTCGAAACTTTACTGCCACATTAGGTATATGTTATTTTTCTGTAATCAGTGGAGCTACATAAACATTATCGTTCGAACGTGAAGCGAAAAAAGATGTACAGTTTGTTAATCTATGTACTTGTAAGACAATCGATTACATCTACTTTGGTAATTGAATCGATTCGTTATACAGGGTGGGCCACGTAAAACAGGCTATCTAATTATCTTCTTTAGTTATGGTGGTACGAGAAAATTTTTACACGCAACTTTAGGGGGTTCACCACCCTGATGGTGTCTAAAAGAAAAGGAAAAGTTTGAGAATTTTTTTCATAGTTAAGTACTAAATAAACAGTTTCAATCTTTGCAGAGAATTTTTGAAAAGTAAACGTGTTGGAAAATGGAGGCGTTATTGCGAAACTTCTTCTGCTAGAACATCAATTGCTGGCCGTCATCATCGGCAAGGATTAGAACGTCTGCAATAAAAGAATTTTTTAGAAACGTTCAAAGTTGATTTTTTTTTTGAAAGAGTGATTGTTCATTTTTATACATTTTTATTTATAAATGAAAAAGGGTTTTTTATTCCAGACGTTTCAATCCTTGCCGACAGTGGCGGCCAGCAATCGATGTTCTAGCAGAAGAGATTTTGCAATTAGCAAATTACTCCTCAATTTTGTAACATTTTCACTTTTCAAAAATTGGAGAAAGAAGCTGAAAGGTACATTTATATCCTCTGAAAAGATTGAAACTGTTTATTTAGTTGTTACCTATGAAAAAAATTCCCAAACTTCACCTATTTCTACATGCCCTCTAGGTGGTGCACCCCCTTAAATGATTTCAAAGAGTTAATTAGATAGAAGAAACATTTTTGATAAATTTTTCTGTTTTGCGCAGTCACCTGAGTTTTTTACGTGAATGTGTATATTTTTTTCTACTGCATGCTGTAGTTATATAATATGGCCATAAGGTGACTTTGGACTCTGAAATTTTAAATCAAATGTGAAACTTCCTTCCATTTTTTCCATCAAACGAAATTTTTTTCCATAATATCCACCCTTTGAAATCCATAGCTATGGTACCACCATAGCTAGAGAAAATAATTAGGTGGCCTGTTCCACGTGAACCACCCTGTATATTCTTTCGTGTGAAAAGTTAACACAAACCAATTATAGCTTTCCAGATGAATTGGAGTGTCTTTCGAAAATGTTTGGAAAAGAGTTGTTCGTTTTAAAGGAAGAAATATTGCGACTAATAGATCCTTCGTCACAAAATAAAAATCTTCAGAATTTCATCGCTATCGATCTATTTGTTAAACGGTGCTAGATATTTTCATGAAGGCATGCTTCATTATGTAAATAATTTTCATTCGTAGCATAATGATATTAAGGCCTACAATTGTATAAAGTGAGAAAAATAACTTTCTACAGAGTTAGAATAACTAAATGGAATAACTTTAACGTGTTGATGCACTGTTTTATTCAACGAATAAGACTATATGTCAGATTATGTGTACCTAGAAGAAATGTATGAGAGGAAATCACTTCAATGAAAAATTAAGTAGTATAACGTAAGTAACTAGGGTGTTGTTTCGGTGAAAGAGAATTAGAAATTGTGTGTTAATAGAAAAATAACGAAAAGGTTAATAATTTTTGGATAAAAAAATGTTTAATTGTAAATAAGTTAATGTGCTTGAATTGCTTAGAAATATAGAAAGAAGGTAATAGAAAAAAGAAAAGGTTGTGTAATGTAGGAAAGTTTATTTTTCTTGACTATTTTAATTTCCGAATTAATCAGTAATACGCCTTGCAAGCTGATTTTATTTATTCTAACTGTTGTCTTGCACTTTTAGTTTCATTTTGAATAGTTCTACCACTTTATGTCTATTCAAACTTATCGTTCCAACTTGACTATCACGTATTTTCTGAAATTAAATCGTGCCATCTAATCTCGATAAGAAGTTATATCGTTACCAAATAGAAAACGAAACGTAGAAATCAGGCGGACAAGCCGATTGTGAAATTAGCCCATCATTTTCTGGCGCTACCGAATATGCATAATATGTAGAGCACCAATTGATTTATGTTTCTTTGAGGAAGGTTAAAAAATATTGTGCACTAAGAAAATCCAACAACGCCACAACGATGAAACTTTCGTTTTTAACTTTATCTTATCTCCTTTTTTATTTTTAAGTAGAAAAATAAAAAAGTTAAATGCAAATCTAAAGCTTTATGCATTGAGATTTTCTTCGTTAAATGCGATAAGTGATGTCACTTCTTCTTGCTAGCACAATTATGCTCTTTTTCCACATTTTCCATAACTTTTCACAAAGTCACGAGAGTTCTTTTGAAATGTGTCGGGGACTTTTGTGCCACCCTGTATAACGGGCGGAACGTGTTACACAGAAGTCTACTGTATCTTTCATTCGTTTATATTTTCCAATACACATGAATATCTGATCAAGAAGCTGAGCTCAATAAACGGTATTAACATTTCGTGTAACATATAAAAAATGAAATTATATACTACCAGTATAATTTGTCGTTTATGTTCTCTTATTGATAAATAAACTTTAAGTTGATATTAAAGTACATATATACATATGTTAATTCATAAGTTTAAGCTATAAGAATCAATTTGAAAACCATATGAAATTACGCGTAATTAATTTTTATCATACTTCACGTATACGTAAGTTCTCATTCTTGTATACTCCCTCTATACTAGGCTTCAGATGAATGTTTCTGTTAACCCCTAGCTGGGGTTAATGTTTCACGCCTGTCAGAAAAGTACTCCGACTCCGCGTAGGGTGGGCGTAAAGTTCACTAAAAAGTATCTACGTTTTCCACAACAATATATTCCACTCAGAATCTGTGTCTACGTTAATCGGACGTCGCTTGCAAAGGTGTACGTTGAAAGGTCTCGGTAAGAGTGAGGACGCGTCGGCCTGCCGATCCTTGTCCCACCCCTACGCGAACAGGCCCAGGGAGAGACCCAAAGGGGCGGAGTTACCCCCACCGAGCGCGCTGGGCCTGGCTTCAAGATGCTCGCCTCACCGTCTTCGGGACGGATTTTCTCACACGCCCGTGTCTTACATGTGCACAGCTAATCGTTCAATAGGTGTAATTTTTGTGCTGCGTTACCCTTATTGTTATGACTAAAAAGATAGTACAGTACAGCGTTACAAATTATGGGAAATAATTAAAAAAAAAAACTAAATGAATCTTGTTTCACACATCAAGTTGAGAAAAATGTGAGCGTGATGAAGGGGTTGAGGCGCGCACTTTAGGAAACACACCAATGATAGATATAAATTTTGACTAAAAGAATATGTTGGAATAAAATTGTAGGTTAGCGTCAGTTATCTTATTCGAAGACGCACGTGTCAGAGACGACGCATTTAGCGGCACAGGCTTCTTGGAAAAGAACATTGTATCGCCAACGAGCGGGAACCTTAGAATCTGTCATTGGGAGACAGGCTCGGCGGCGGCGTAGAAACCAGTGGCAAAGGACCCGACGTCCTGTTGCCGAACACAAAGAGGACGCGTGCACGGCACCGGTGGCCCGACGTCACCGATGCTTCGTAGCGCGTATAGAGAGATAAGGATTCGGAACAAAGGATCTCGCCACGAAGTGGTCAGAGGCTTTTTGGGACTCTCCGGGAAGAGGACTGTGTCAAAAAGGCACGGCAAGTTACCCGAGAACCTTCGGCGAGAAAAGAATTCTAACATGACGCAGGCAAATTATAGAAGAACCCGAAGAACGCCTAAAAATTACAGTGAAAAAGTCTCAAATGTATAAAATTATGTATTTCTAAAAAATTTGAACTTCCC